CATAATCAACAGCCCAGCAAAAGTTTGAAACGAAAAATAAAGAAAAAAAAACGCGCGCGCACACACTCAATGAAGAAAGATGAAAAGCTTAGATTTTTCATTTGGCACTCGAATGCGCGTGTGGTTTTTCAATGGATGTGATCTACGAGTCGGCGAATTGGCTGACTATGGCTGTCGCTTCATATAACTTTTATTTGTGTTGGGATCTACACACAATTTTATTTCACGAACAACGAATTTTATTTGTTTGTTGAAGTTCAACTGCATGACTTTATAATAGCAAACATATACAGCGCACACTCTATGTGTCTTTCGAAACAATGCATGTTTTGTTAACACTCTGATTTTAGATAGCAATCAAATCAAATTCATATGCACAATAAATGAATAGCACTGAGAACGATCACAATTGATGCAAGCGCGCGAGCAAATGAGCTTGGCTCTCTTTTTTCTCTTGCTCTCTATTTGCCCTTTTTGTTTATACTAATGAGGACAAAACTTGATCAAAATTAGTGAAATTAACAATTGAGTTAGGTGTAATGTTTTAGTGTTTTCATTGTCGTTGCTTTTGCCATTGTTTCTAATTCATCTATACATTTCGAAAATTTTCGAAAGGTGCAAATTGTTATGAATGAAATCGAATGAAATCGCAAGGTGACTATTTGTCGGATTTTGTAAAATCACCTCAAAATATTTAAAACAGGTTGGATTAACCATTTCATTGATGTTATTTTTAAATTTATGATGCCATCATAAGTTATTGTCATTTGAAACAATAATGTCTAAAACTGAAAGCTTGTGCATGTGATCACATTAGAATGAATAAATATCAAAATCCCTTCAATTGCTGTACATTGACTGTGCGACAAGGGAAAAAGAGTGTACGAAATTATTTTCAAAAAAATATTTGCGTCATTTGTCCCAAGCGCGCAAAATATCGATCAAAATAGTTTGTAGTTTCATGTTTAAATGGAATGCCAAATAAATTAAAAATGGCCAAGCTTAATTAAAATATTGAGTCGTTTCAATCAACGCTATTTAGGTACACATTAAATCCATTTGATGCCATTTTTCATTTTATCTATGCATTACCGGAATAATTATCGGATTATCATTTTCAACATCGATTGAGAAGTACAAAACATTGTGTTGAAGACTACTTCCGCAAAAATTACTAGTTTCAAAATGAATATCTTTCTTTCAATCATTTTTTTTTTTTTTGATTTCCAGGCAAAATGCGATCCCGGCTGGCTGTTTCGCAGGTTGCCGAAATTCAAAACAAACATTTCGAATTATTTGGCATAGCAAATGAAATTGACACGTAAATTTAAAATTGCAATGGATTATCGGCATAAGCGCACAATAGAAATTTGAATGTAAGTTGCAATTTTATTTTGCCCTCATTTGGTTGATTTTGACATAAATCGAGCACAATAAAGCCGCACACGCATACACACAGAGAGAGAGAGACAAATATTTCATTCAGATTGTGGACGTGGAGTCGGCACCACAGCAATAATAATCACATTTAATTTTCGTTGGAACCAATCGTCGTAGCAGTAACAATTATGATTGTTATTAGTTTTGTATGCTTTCGACGGTTTTGTTAGTGAATGCTAAATTCTGAATAGGTGTCGGGAAGCGCGTCAATAATGTGACAAACGTTTGTTTGCCTGACATGTACCATGTGTGAGTGTTCAATGTAAGTGTAGTTGTGTATGTTCTCTATGACTGGCATAATTTTTGACAATGATTATTTTATGCCGTTGTACGAGCACCGTATTTGTTTATTTGTTTTGGAAGTATGCAAACGGAATAGCCAAAAATTGGACCGAAAGTGTTCACAATGTGAAAAAGAGCGAGCATGATAAAAATGCTTCCACATTATCCACGGTACAAAATGTGTTAATGTGTGGATTTTTCGTTCTGCGGTCCGGCCATTATGATTGTTTATATCGTATGAACCGATATAAATGATGTTAGAGCGACAGAGATATTGAGAAATTATGATGATGACAATAATTACGGATGTATGGTGCTAATGGTCATTGCCATACTGAAATGAAATGTTGAACGGATACAAAGCAATTTTTTTGTTGTTGTTTTAGTTATGGATGCTAGTAATAGTAGTTGCCGTCGCCGTCATCGTCATCATCATCGTTTTCGATTCAATTCAGTTTTTTTTTTGTTTTTGCTCTACATACCCACTGAAAACAATGCCGCTAAAAAAATTGTCATTACTGATGCTTCAAACATTTATGGTTCCAAATTTTTGACAAACAATTCGTCAATTTCCTCATTTCATATTCCATTTAAATCCATTGCATTGCCCCCATAATTGCCCATCACAGCTCTCTAAAACATTTGATGTCAAACAATTTCGGCTCACAGCATTCTTCACTAGATTAACCGTGTGGCTTCAATCTTCTTTCATTAGCAGTAAATGAACGAAAGGAATGCGTATGTGTGGGGATTTTAGCAATCAAGACTGACTAATGTCAAATGGGAACAAAGCATAGACACAAAGAATTTTCGGTTTGGCTAAGTATTTTTGAATTAATGACAACTCTCTTTTGTTCTTTTAAGGCTTTGTTATTTGTGCTGTCAACGCATGACTTTTTTTTATTTTATCTCTTAATTTTTTTTAAATCGATTACATTCTTTCAATTAATCCAAGCCGAATGTGAAATCGAATCATTTGCGCTCAAATGAAAAAAAAAAATTGTTGAAATAACTCCATGTCATCAAATGACACATCAAATGCAATTCTTTATCTCATTGTATCAAATCGCCATAAACCGATACGAAATTATTTTAATTATTTGAACTATCTGAATTATTGAAAAATTGCCGTCTCGAACATGACACCGAACCTTGAATCGACTTAAAGACTCGATTTCTTATCTAAAAAGAATTTTAATCGATTTTCGAATGCCGCATAAAAATTACAATTACATTCATCGAAATTGAAAAGAAAATTATTGAAATCAAAAATGGCTCTGATTAATTCAGTTGTTTCGTTAAATTATGTCTTGAAATAGATTAAAATTATCTGCGAATTTTTGGTAAACTTGAATTGCCGTCGAAAAGTGCACACACAATTTAAGTCGAATTAGTTTCGCACATTTTTTTTCCCAACATTTTTAGTGATTTTTTTTTTTGCGATACAGTTAATCTCGCAATGTTGAACGATAAAACCAAACCCATTCAATAATATTCAAGCTTTGGCATGCATCATTCGATTTGTTAGCAAATGTATCAATTAAATTAATGATATTCAAATTGATCGGTTGAGTGAAAAATGCAAGGAAAAAAAATACAGTCGCCAATTCTTTTGCCATGAATTTTCCATTTGTTCTTTTCCTTTTTTTTTACTTTCATCGAATTGATTAGCGATGAATTCATTTAAATTTATTAATGAGATTACAGTCAATATTACTTTTCTACACCGTTCGGTTATACTCTGGAGACAGATTATGGCACCGGTCGGTTGATTAGTGTACGCCAGCAAACGAATATATTTTTGATTGGTTTGCGTTTGATTTGCCGTAAGCAATAATAACATTTAAATCTTGAAAATCGGCGCGACTTTTATCATTTTGTTGAGATAATCATAGAAACATCAAAACAGCATCCCAAAAAAAATATCACCAATAATTAATATTTTCATTAAAAAATCGACACAAAAAAATGCTATCACAAGAATAAATGAGCCTACTGTGACCAACTATAATTGCCGGCGATTTTTCGGTGAAATAACAATCGATTTGAATCATTGAATCCAACATTTATGTAGACAATAAACTTAGCATCGGAATTGAAAATTTATGTATAAATGTTTTTTTTGTTGTTGTTGTCTATTTTTCTACTTCGAAGACATAATGTGGCTTCATTCCATGTGTCTTTTTTGATTAGTGTTTATATCTATTGGTTTTACCGATTTTATGATCGATTCCGGATGATCGCATCGTGTTATTAGAAAATTTGCATTTGAAATTATCATTTGCTGTTAATCAAACACTTCAAAGAGTTGCCATAAACACGGACACATTTCGTATATTTTCTATATGCTTCAATTTCATCGTAATGCCACTCCTTTCGGCTGCAGCTGTTAATGTTACATTCTACGAAATCAATAGCTGGCGCAACCAAACCATGAATAACAAAAACTAGAAAAAGCAAAACAATGATAATATGTTTGATACGAATGGAATTGTGTGCGATGCCAACCTCGCCTATGACAGGTTTCGGGTTAAGCATATTCACACATATACTGTTTTTTCTTCAGTTTACTTCGTTCTGTTTTTTTTTTTCGTCAAATATATTGAAGTAATGAAAAATGAAATAAACAAGAAAATCGGCATAACCATAGAAAATATCCTCGACATGAGTTGATTTTTTCTCTCTCTGTAGAATGGATTCGCGATCAAATACCAACCAGGACACAGGTACATGCGAGAAAAACAAATGACGAAGAAATATTGAGTAATGACCATATTCATTTGAATAGCATATTTTAATTATGATTAATTACATAAAGCGAAAATGAATTAATATGTTTATGGCAAATAAAATGAAGGAAAAATGATGCACATGAACTAAAGACATCAACATTTTTTTTGATCTACCAAAAAAGTATTATTGTGGCACGATGCAAATATCACTCTTTATCGCGCTCATTGTTTTGTTGGTTTATATTTTCTTTTTGCACAGACACACGCACAATCACGCACAAACACAATTTAACACTTGAAATTTATTACAAAAATGATATTCAACGCATTCACAAGCACAATATATATATATAGATTTAAATGGACAGGAACAGGAACCAAAAATTGCAAAACATAACGAAAGGAAAACAAAATAACAGAACTTTTCAAATCTAAGAGCATGACAACAATATTTCCATTTGTTCACTGTATGCGATTGCAAATCGATGGCGATTTTGAAAAACGAAACAAAGCCAAACAAATAATTTAATAAGAAATGGAACCTACCCTAGGCTGAGCCATCAATGCTCTGGGAGCGGCTTCAAACTCAATTTGTGCCACTTTCTAGTTTGTGATTACTCACACAACAACTAAATGTTTTTTTTTTTTTGTATTTTATTTGAGTGCTTCAAATGTCCAAAACTTTATTCGTATTATTTCGTATAACTTGAAGGATTTTCAATATAATTTGACGATTATTCAAGAACTTTGTCTACTTTGCACTCGAACGACAAACTTAAACATATAAACTATTTCGATGATCTCTCTTCGTTGCGACAAAATTAACAGAATTAATTTGATGATTTTCCGAAAGTCCACGCGCGCGAAATTCTGTCGTCAATCGTTTATGTTTATATATATATATATTTGTATGTATGTCTGTATGTTCAACGATGTCTTGAGACCAATAACACAAATTCACAATAAAAACGTTCCGTGTATTCACTGTTCAAATCTTAAACTGTGTTGTTTATTGATTTGTTTAAAACTTTATATGTTTATGTAATAATTTCTTTATTTTTATAGCTGCTTTTATTCTGTCCCCCCAAAAAAGAGTGTCTAGCTGCAGTGTTAAATTGTATACGTTTTTTGTTTTGTGTTCTTTGTATAAATAATTAGAATTTTCTGCTAAAATATCTTACTTAATCGTAATCAAAATGTTTGGAATTTTCTTTTTATAAATTATTGAGCAAATCGTATAATTTTGTTTTCGGCTATCAAAGATTGATTCGTATACATTGGATTTCAATCGATTCGGTTTGAATTTGAAAAAAAAAAGTGTTCACATTGGTTTCGAATTTATTTGTCAACCGTGTTTGTTTTGTTTGTTTGTTTGTTTCGTTTTCTTTTTGGTATACAGTATTGATAAGTACGGGGTTAAGTTATCAGTTCATTTGGCTTATTTTGGACCGCGATTCGCGACAAAACTGCACTTTAACAATTAAACCAAATGTGCAAATTATGTAAAATGTAAACGACATTACGATATTAGATCAATTTGGGTGTCTGAGTTTCTTGTTCGGCGATACCGGAATGCTGGTGCACATAACTTTAGAACAAATTCTTAATGCATAGCAACTCAGTCAACACAAAATATTGACGAAGTATCGAGTCTATTATAGATGTCTTTCTGTAACTAACACTTTGCACAAAATTCACTTTTGTTGATTTGTGGTCGTCGATTTTTATTTATTTATTTATTTTTCTTTCTCGTTCACTTGTTTCACCCAGAACTAAATATCGGCATGTATAAAAAAATTAATCAAAAAACTAGCGCCACAATGACGGCGTTCGTCCATCGAATGTAATGCTGTGATGTATCCAAAAACAAAACAAAAACAAAAAAATGCAGCTTTTCGGATCTTTCTAAATAATTGTTGTTGTTTATATGTTGCTGTTGCTGTTGTTGTTTTGAATGTTGCAACTCTCGTCGATGGGTTTTTTTCTCTTTCGCTAATGCCTCAATCGTTCACGTTTATTCTCGTATACAATGATAATAGAGCAGCAAAAACCGGAGTGTTATATCGAATTTGAAAACTTCAGATAATTTGGTTGATATAGTAGGAAAAATTGTATATATGAGTTTTGAAAAACGGAGCGACGTCGCATACACGTCGTACGCGTTTCGAAGGCAAATACACACTGACTTGTCAATCATAAACGAGCTAGTAACAACTGGCGGGGGCAAGATTCTGATGACTGATGGAATTGCACACGCCTTTTAGGCCGTTCCCATAAGCTCTTCATCATCATTGTGATCATTGTTGCGCGCTTACGCTTCTATACGTTCGTTGCTCCGTTCGAGTCTCGTTTGAGTGTGTAGATAAATCGACAACAGCAACAGCAGCAACAACAACAATGACGACGGCACACGGAGTTGTACGATAGTACGATTGTATATACGTTTGTGTGTGTGTGTGAAAGAGAATGAGTGTGTCGCATGTATTGTTGCCATACACGGTCACACACACACAGATGCACAGAGATACACGCACATTCATTTGCACAAACAGAGACTGACTGCTCTGACATAATGGTTACCGCCCTTTGGTAAACAGTCTTGAGTGGAAAACGCGCTTGCAAAGCAAGCACAAAATGTTTCGGCTAAGGAGCGGAATCGAACATCGCATCCGATATAGCGCACATGTGTTAAAACGAAACGGACAACATTTATCATGTATAAGGGCAGTTACGCGGCGTCAAGCCAAAAAAATTGAAAAGATATATCAATCATTCTCTCTGGTCGTCTTTCTCTTTCACATTATGTTCTTGATTCGGTTCGTTCGGTAAAAGAACTTGGAATAAAATACGCTTCGATATGATGTATGTGCGACTGTGTTGGTATTGACACATTGGCAATGGCACACGTCGGTGGCCAGAGCGAGACGGCTGAACAAGAAATGCGCAATGCAAAAACTACAAAATACAACTGAACAGGAAAAAAAAGCACAGAGAAAAACTGAACCAAACCAAAACTGAAGCGTGGTATCGTGTTGTAAGCGCGAGATATGAGACCCGAACAATGAAACCGAATAAAAGAATGAAAAAGGAACAAAAACACAAACACATCAGTGATGTTTCTACTTGCTTAAGTTGTCGCTGGTGTGATGCCGTTGCATTTTTCGTCGTTTCAGTTTTGTGTTGTTTCGTTCGTGAAAATTGTGGTGTGATGTGAACTGAATTGCAAGAGATGGCCTCTATGTGCGAGCGAGACACAAAGCCAAACAAGTAATAAAAACGACAGACGGACACCGTATGAAAAATGTTAATCGAATGGCATGCCAGCTAGAATGAGACGGAACGAGAACGCTGAACGCTGAATTTCAGTTGGATCCGAGTATACGGTTGACGGGAGCATGTGTACACATGAATCAATGTGCTCGCGCACATTCGACAAAGACGGTCGATCAATGCGATTGTCATTGGGCGGAAAGCGATAGACGAAGATAGATTTTTATGAGTGTGTGAAAAATGTCTGAAGCGACAAAAATCCGCCATTAAATGCATTAAAAAGAGATAGAGACGATTTTAATGTGCTAATACATCAATATATAGGTAGGTATGAATATAGATTCGAGCTTGCTATTCTGTGTTTGTGTCGTAGCGCTGCTATTCTATTCATCTATGTTGATTCCTATGGATTTAATATTTCTTCTGCTCTTTCTATTTTGCTCTTACTTTGACGATAGTTTTTTTTCTCGATTTTTTGTCGCTTTTTTTTTCACTTTTTCTCAATTTTATTGAAAAATTCTAGCATTTTATGTTTTCTATCGTAGAAATACAGTCGCCCCGAACAAATTTCAAATTCAAGTATTCTCACTTCCAAACGAACAACATACCTTTGACAAGCAATAACAATGAATGTTCTTATTCGATTAGATTGTCATTCTATTTGCACATTTCTGCAATGGAATAACTATATATTACTATCATTTCGAATTATTTACATGCATTTCATTTAGATTTCACATTTTTTATCGCATTTTTTAATTTCATTTTATCTAAATTTTCTGCACTTTTGTTTGTTTCCATTGCGTCTATTTCTATTGCTTCTGCATTCACATATTTATGGCATGCCCTCAGAATCTCGATGTTAAGATGCCATCGATGGATCGAAGATAATTTTCATGACATAATTATGACGGCTATTGAAAACGAGAGATGAAAAATTGCGGAATACGTAAATTTTTATGATATATTTACACTGAAATTAAAATCGGTTTGTGGCTTAGGGAGCTTAACAATTGAAAATGAGCATAATATAAAAAGTAAACGTGTGCATAAACGAGCGCATTTGATTGGTGTTACGAAGTTTGGCCAAGAATGTTTAACCATGTCTTGAAATGTGGTATATCGAATTCGATGAATGTGGCCATCATTGAATTGTCGAAGTTTATAGAGTGCCTGTGCACGCATTTTTCTCTCTCTCTCTCTCGCTCCATGCGCGCCAAATACACGATGTTTGAACAATTATTTTGCACTTCGTTCACATTGGTGGTAGGCTAAAGTCACGAGGAATAAAGATAATATCCGATTGAAATGAAACCGAATCGCACATTGAACCAGCGTATACGCATAGATAAAATTTGTTTGAACAAATACGAGGTAAATACGATGCAAAGCTTTGTCGAAGACACACACAAAGTGAAAGAGAGACCAAATCCGAAGTAACATAAAAAAAGGTAGCAAACGAACCAAATGAGCAGCATTCATTCGTTTCGCATGTGTATTACGTTCAAGCATGTGTTTATGTATGTAATAGTTGTTGTAGTAGAAAAATTTATGGCAATTAGGGGTTAGAGATATTTCATATAATGGATTAATTCTGAAATTAAAGTTTCATATCCCTATTATATATAATAAATTTTATTTCTCCATCGTCGTGGTCGCAATCGCTGTCGACATTGTTATCGTTTTTGCTGCTGTTCTATTTCTCTCTCTCTGTCTCTATCTCTGCGTGTATGTTTTTTTTTATTTCATTTCATTCAAATGTTACTCTGTCATGATATAGTGCTTCTTCCTTTGATTGTCATTGCACCGCAGCAATTGAATCGATTCGCTATTTCAATCGTTCAATGCATTCGATTTAGTCACACTAACTAAAATACGATTTGTTATGTTTTGCCATATTTTCACTGCATTTTACCAACATATTATGATTTTTATGATTGTTTTTCTTTTCTATGTCTATATTGCTTACAGCCAATATCACTCTTGAAAGTCGATGCGTGTACTTTTTTTATTATTAATTTACGATGATGTGACATTTGTGTATTTGTATTTAAAACAAAATATGTATAAACATGGGCTTGTGTATTGATTGTGGAAATAAAGTGAAAAAAAAAAACAGAAATGCAAAAGAAATATGTTCAGGATTTATGTGCACCGAAAAACGAGAGCACGCACACGCCATACCCAATACAACTGAAATCAATGCAATAGCAAAAATTGTGTTTTTTTGGTGAACATTCAAGTGTTCATTGGCAATCTGTTGATTTTATCATTGGTTTGCTTTATTCTGGTTTGCGCTAACTAACTATGCCTTCATTTCCTTCTGTGCCACAAGCCGGTAAACACTAAACACAAAGTACAATGACTATTGCTTTTCTACTACTTTACACAAACATTACAATTTATTGATACATATCGCCACTTATTTCCCCTGAAATATGATTTTTTTTTCAAGCTCTATTTATTGTTTCATTTTTTTTAGGTATCCAGCATGGAGCGGGAGTATTTTCATGCCGACGGAATGAAGAAATTAAATTTGATACTTTTTTATGATGACTGGTTGTTCATATGATAGGATTTGATTATGGATGCCATATTTATTTTACACACTGACTGCATTTGTACTTTTTTTTCTTGGATGAAAGCAATTATTGTTCATTATTTTAAAGGTATTGGCAAAATGAAAACGATAGAATCATTTCACATTTTAAATTCCGGATAATTTACCAAATTTAGTCCGACAGACTTAAAAATTCACTGAAAAGCAAATTGTTAACGCGGGTAAAAAAAGTGTCACATCAATTTCTTTAACAATTTCCATTCAATTTTTCGTATGTCACTGAATAATCAGAAAACCAATTCAAAGATACAAAAAATAGACGAATTTTGGATATTGCTATCATTGTCGGGCTGCTGTGACATTTTCTGCATTTTACCAAAAGACAGAAAACACAACGAACAATTCAATGGAACAAACGAATAAAAAAAAATGCTTTAAAATTATATTAATTACAATTTTGGTGTGACAATCAACGGCTCTTATAATCCCAAATCGTATAGTTACACTCACACATGCACACATGGTGATGTGACTTTTTTATTACCAAAATGTTCCTTATCTTTTGATTCTTCTTTTTATTTATTTCTTTTGGCTGCATCCAGCAAACCAAATGTTTACGTCCAACAAATTAAACGTGTCATTGTTCGAATAAAACGATTTGTCATTGGTATTGCACGAGTATGGAAATTTACATGTTTTTTTTTTCTTCTAAAGTCCGCAATTTTGTGTTGATTTTGTGCGATTTTCTTGATGTTAAATCATGAGCTTTATATGGAATTTTCTACGGATTTTCCCTCGCAATGCCGAAATGGACATGTAAATTACATTACTAATGTAGATGTAATCGATTTGAAAGCAAATAATTGATAATACAACATGAATTCAAACAGTGCCATTCAATCCTATCACATATATGAGTGGATAGTTTGCCGAATTTCAAAATTGTTCATTAATCGTCGATATAATTTGCATCATGAATGAATTGCCATTTTTTTTCTTTAAAAAATCAGAAGACTAAAATAAATCAGCAGATTTCGACAGGGCATTAGAAATGTGTTGAATTGATGTCGAACGACAAATAAAATGTTTGAAATCATAGAGAAAAAAAGCACTCAAAATACACGGTGAAAAGCACTCAACGAGTGAGACAACCATATACGAAAAATGAAACCGAATTTCACTCATTTTGTGTGACTGAATCGGATGCAGTGTGGATCGGTTTGTACTCTTCGGCCCGGTTCACACACACACAAACACACATGCGTCACATGTTGTTGCACTTTTTCAACTCAGCGCAAGATGTTTGCTCATTGGTATAAGAGAAGTCCGTGCGTCTCTCC